CAATAGATATGGCAATGGTAGTCGGTGCGTGGCGAGACCCCCAGGACGATGTGCCCGGAGCTCAGGGAACGCAGCCTTCGCAAGCCCCGCCGGTGCAGGGACCTCCGGCCGGGACCCCGCACACCCCACAGACCCCGGGGCCCGTGGGCCCTCCCAGTACTCCAGCCCAGAGCAACCCGCCAAGCCAGCAGAACCAAGGAGACAAACAGCAGCAGCAGCAGCACATTGAATGTGTGGTTTGTGGGGACAAGTCTAGTGGCAAACATTATGGCCAGTTTACCTGCGAGGGTTGCAAGAGTTTCTTCAAGCGGAGTGTAAGGAGGAATCTCAGCTACACTTGTCGTGCCAACAGGAACTGTCCCATTGACCAGCACCACCGCAATCAGTGTCAGTACTGCCGCCTCAAAACTCAAAGTTGGCATGAGACGGGAAGGTATTGGGATTTCATTTGTTTTGCAAATTTTTTTTTTCACTCGCTGCGTTTTGGGTTTTGTGGTTGGTTTGTTTTTGGTTTTGTTTTGGTTTGGGTTTTTTTAACTATTATTATTTTTAACCTCCCTCCCCAAACCCAACCAGAACCTTTCCTTCCCCTCCCCACCCCCCACTCCTTTTCTCCTTCCCACCCCCCGAATAAACAGACAGAAACTTTCTGGTAATGAAAGAAAGAGGTGTTGGAGAGGGTGGGCAGGGGAAAGGGCTCTTGCATGCTTTCCCCTGCACTCGTAATTGATTTGTGTTTGTTTTGATTCTGCTGATGGAGGTTTATTGGAAGTGGATTTTTAGTTTCACGCTGTTTAGGAGCGAGATGATGATTCTGACGTGTGGTTACTTTTCCTTCATGTTTCCCTCCTGCATGTTCAACCTTACCCCCCTCCCGTCCCCCGAGCAGTTCTCTGTGCGTGGCTGTGTGAACTGCGTGTGTGTGTACACACACAGAGCCTCACGAGATGCATACACGCACATTATATATATATATATAAGATATATATTTACATATATCCCCCAGCACTTTGCCTTAGATTGCAATTTTACACAGGCGGTTCAAATTACTGTTACAATGGGACTCACCCTACCGAGGCTCTACAGCACTCCACTGTGGATTCCCAGCCGGATTTTTCCTCCTTTTAAAAATATATATATACACACACATATCCGCGCGTGTGTGTGTATGTATAGATATTGCCGTGTGCCTGCCTTTCCCGATTGTTATTCTCTCACTTTTCTCTTCTTCCTCCTATTTTCTTGTCCCTCCGGGAGAAAGGCAAAAAGGGGGGAGAAGCAGAAGGGACGGATGGGGGGGGAAGGAGCAGCCCAGAAGTAAGTGTGGGGTGCTCGGGTCTCTGCAAGTCGAGTCTTTGTGATATAAAATTAGACGAGAAATGTGAGCCTGCAGTTTTCCAGTGCGTGCTCTGTGTCTGGACGCTGCTATGTAGGTTAAGGGTTGAAGGGGGCTTGGGACTTGCTGGGCTCCTCTTTGTGTTTCTGCAAGAGTAACTAACCTTGTAAGACGTGCGAGAACAAATCTAAATCAAGCACATATTTAGGCGTTCTCCCTTCTTGCCGTCTCTCTGCCTCTCAGCCCTTTTTCTCGCTCCTTTTTCTATCGCTGTCACCGTGTAAATAAAAAAAAAAAGGCCCACTTTCCATGGGCAGCTGAGGAAGGTGCCTTTGGATAATAGTCCCAGCCTCGCCGGGGGACCTGCTGGGGATGTTGTTGGGGTGATCTCGCCTCCTTTGATTTTTTTCTTTTTTTCTTTTTTTTGGTAA